GGGGGGGGGGGGGGGGGGGGGGGCTGTCAATAGTTTTTTCTCGTTCTCAATAAATATAGACCATAGAGACACATTATTAGTCTGAAATAAACCCTCGAGTTTTCTCCTTAATACCCTTCTTCGCTGGTCAATATAGGGTAACTATATTACAGACACAACTACATGCAAATATATAAAAGAAAAAAATGAGACTTAGAAGTGTTAAAAAGGGGAAATCTATTTTATAAAGCTTTAAGCTCATATACATAATATATTTGTATGTATGTATATTTATATGTTAGCTATAGCTGGATAAAAATCTGGACCGAATTGGATTAATTTGGGGATAACATTGCTAAATTAGTTTTTCTTCAAAAATCTAATTTTTTATTTTATATCAGTTTTATTTTAGTTTCATGGACAACATCGGGCACTTCAGAATCAGCTAGTATTTAATAAAACCCTGTTCCCGTCCCGAGTGTCAAATCAAAATAGGACAAAATAATATTAGTTCCATGCAAGAACAAAAATTCCTTAGTTTGTTTACAGTAGGCCACCCTGATCAGTGTATACTGTATACTGTATTAATCTTGTTACGGGGTCACTTAATCTAGTTGATGTTTATAGAAAGCGCATGCATGAAACTAATTATCAAAAAACGAAAAAGGTTTAAAATGAAATCTAAAAGGTGTAAAATGAAATCTAAAATGTGTAAAATGAAATCTAAAATGTGTAAAATGAAATCCAATGCGATATAAAGCATTAAAGGGACTCATAAGTAATTAAAAGTGGCTTTCTATGTCTATAAGTAGGTTTGACACACAACAGTACCCTTTAAAGCTTTTCTTTTCATGCAAAATTGAGAAAGTTAATGTTTTTTTTTAGAACGAGTTAGATTCTGTTAATTTTTTTTTACTCTCTGCGGTCATATCTTAAACCACAGTTGGAAAAATCAATTTTGAGATAAAAAAATTCAAGGATATCTCACTTATACTTGATCAGAGAAAGGTTTCAAGGGTACCGTTGTGAATCAAACATCCTACTCTTTGAATACAGAGCCAATTTAATCTACGTCATATAGTCCCTTTAAACATTACCGTGTTATTTTGAACACTAAAGGGTTGATGAGGAGTACTTGAAGAGTTATCTTTAAACAAAACTTCTATTTTTCGCATGGTTTCTAACATTCGGCAAAATATTAGAATAAATAATGAGTTTATATCAGCAAGATAATGTTCTAAACTTAAAGGTATTGTCAGCGTAAATTTAAGATGACAATGCCCGATTTATAATGGTACGCTTAAAACCCTTAATTGGATCAAAGATGTGAAAGATATCGTCTGTTTCTGACTAGAAACAAGAAATAGGCAAGTCACTTTCGCAGAGAACCCGCAAATGAAAATAAATAGTTAAACAAACACGCAATATTTAATTCAAACTTTATCAGACAAACCTTTTAGGAAATGGTTGTAAAACGGACATTTTCACCTTTCCACGCAAAATTACGCTAATTAAAAAATGTTGTTAATGAAATCTTAAATAATTATAGAATCGACTAAATCAAGGTGATCATGGTACACTGAGTACAACTGTAAACGTACATAAACTATACACAAGAATATTTTCTGAAATCCATTTATATGAAAAAAATTAGATAACATTTCTAAAATTTTTAGGCTTTTCACAACAAAACACAAACAAAAAGTTTCTTGTATAACAAGTTAATATTCCTAAATATACTTGAATCATTAGACGACATTTTTATGGTGCCCCAGAAAACTTTAGATTAATATATTTCCTTGCTTGAAAGTCAATTTAATGAATCAAAATTTAAAATGATAATTATCTACTGCATTCATGACCCGACTAAGATTTAGTCCTTAAAAGACGAAAGACGAAAAGCGTAGCCCAGTAATTAACTGACCTACTAAAAGATCCCTTTTTATCATCTTTTTATCCGTTGGAATTTTCGTGGATTTCTCGAGAAATTTTGTGGATTTCTCAAAAATTTGAATATTTAGCTTTCCTTGGAGAACATGAATCCTTTGAAGGATAGATTTCTGATAAACTAGACCGGACACATTTTTCTCCGTCTACAG